CTTTGCTACTAACTTGTGCTGCTTCTGCATTGTTCTGGTGCAAGTTGCACACATGGCTTCGGCTGCTCTTTCTGTAGCCAATTCAACTCTACAGGTTACATATAGAACAACAATCTACGATCCATTTCATTCATCATCTGTATCAGTGTATAGCGTTCTCAGATATTTATGTAATAATTTGTATAGGTTGGGAGCAAGGGATTTTCTGACTTTGCAGGGCTTCGCAGTTCGTCTTCCTCTCTACCATTCGCAAGGAGGACAAATAATGATTTGCTTTCTGTTATTGCCTTCCAGACATCTGTTGTGAGTACCGTGGAATTAAGCAAGATTTTGTAGCATCTAGTCTTGTTCGGTACTGCATACTAAACATGCTTTAAAGACTTTGCAACTGCTTCTTGAACAATAGAATGGTGTAGTTAAAACTTAAAACCATTGCCAGTCTAGAGATTGGTAGAGCATTTTGAATGAACTATTTTTGTGAAATTCATAACTATGATACAAATTGCCCTTGTTTTACAATCATTGAAATAAAATCTTTTTTTCTCAAACTCCCGCACATTCTCACAATAAAATATTGTACATGTAAATCCAAAATTTTTCTTACTTTTTAACTGCACAAATTCTCCATGAAATCATTATTCCAAAACTCATTTTAATGATGGACTATGCTACAAGTACATAATCATTTACATAATACATTACATAATTGACATGTGGCGCGCATTCATTGGTAGTCTACAATTTTTAACTTTTTCACACTTAACATCCACGGCCGGATTTCTTCCACATGGACCTATGTAATCCATTATGTATAATAATTATGTACATATAAATTTATCCTTTAAGGATTGTCTAACAGGGGCTAAAAAATGGCTACAACTGGTTTGGTAGTGATTAAAATTTTACTTCTAAGTAAAGCCCATGTTTGTTTGGGCTCCAATAAATAATTTTTTAGGGAAAAAATGTCTTTTAGAATAGTAATTTTTTGAATAATGTACGGTTAAAATAGAAGGAATTTTTTTGAATTTAAGTGTAATATTATTTTATTGGATAATGTGTGGTTAAAAAGAAGAGAGAGAAGAATGCATTTTAAATAAAATGGAGCCCAAAGATGGGCAAAATAATTTTTTTTATTAATCAAATTTATTTTATTTCACATTAAATAAATTTTTATTTATTGTGAAATTCATGACTATTATATAAACTGCCTTTGTTTGACAAATATTAAAATAAAATTCTTCTTTTTCTTAAGTTTATTTTTAATCACACATTCTCACGATAAAATATTTTATACGTAAACCCAATTTTTTTTCCTATTCTCTAACTACACACAATCTCTCAAAACTCATTTTTCTTAATAAAAAAAAAAAAAACTCATTTTAATGGTTGTCAAACATGGCCTAAAATGGCTACAACTAGCCATGTCAATGAGCCGAGCTGAGCCGAAACTCAAAAGTTCGGGCTCGACTTGAACAAAACAGGTCGAGTTTTTTTTGAGCTCGAGCCGAGCAGAGCAAAAGTTCGGCCAAAAAAATAGAGCTCGGCCCGAGCTTTCGGCTCGAGCCTTAGTAGGCCGAGTCGGTGTTTTTTTTTTAATTCGTTATAAATCTATAATTTTTTATAATTTGTGCAATTTATACGTATTATAAATAATAACTAAATATTAATATATAAAAAAATACATCTAAAATTAAAAATAAAAAATAAAAAAAAGCTCAGACGAGGCAGTGCTCGGGCTTTTTTCAGGTCGATCTCAGGCTGCGAGCCACCGAACTTTTTTGACATCGCTAGCTACAGCTGGTTTGGCAATGATTACTTATAAGTAAGCCCTTGTTTGGGCTCCATTAAAATAAAATTCTAGGAAATAATATATTTTGGAATAGTTATTTTTTGAAGAATGTGTGGTTAAAAAAAAGAAATAGAAAAATGCATTTTGAATAAAATGGAGCCCAAACAGATGCTAAATAAATATTTTTTTATTAATCAAAGTTAGACAGTTAAGTAAGAGCTCCATACATGCTAGGAAACAAAGTTGCACAAAAGTAACCTTACATTTTTTTTTCCAGCTTAGCCAACAAGCTTGAATTCTTCACATGTTTGTAAGACCAGTCACGGTTCTAACAATTCAGTTGTTTTGAATCTTCAAACAGATCTGTAACAACCCGATTCGAGGGGCTAGAAAAGATTCATGTTGCTGACCCAAGTTTATTGAAAACTATTCTTAGTTTGTCGTTGTTGTCGATAAAGTTTTTTTGAAGTTACACAGTGGGGGATGTACCATGTTTTTTGAACACTGTTTACATGCTATCTACCAATTCAGGTGTAGAAGGAGCCGTTGAACATCTATATCATAAATGTTTCTGGTTTTTAAATCATTATATGAGCTTGAAAGCTGAAAATTTAGTGATCATAAATTTGGTAGTAAATTTGAAATGGCATTTATATGTGAGTGCTAACATCTGCTTGTTGGTTTTGGCAATTTTTGTTCAGGCTGGTGGAGACAAGAACAAGAGGGGAGTAGTCGAGGCCAAGCTGAAGGTGGCCATTAATGGTTTCGGAAGAATTGGAAGGAACTTCTTGAGATGCTGGCACGGAAGGAAGGATTCCCCTCTTGATGTCATTGCCGTCAACGACACTGGTGGTGTCAAGCAAGCCTCTCACCTTCTCAAATACGACTCCACCCTCGGTATCTTTGAAGCCGATGTCAAACCTGCTGGGGATGACGGCCTTTCTGTTGATGGTAAAATCATTAAAGTCGTCTCCAGCCGCAACCCCATTGACCTTCCCTGGAAGTAATAATTCCTGCTTATACACATTTGTCGATGCATTGTCATACACGCTGAGGCCTTTATGATAATTGAAACAGATTTGACATGGTTAGGATATGATGGTACTGGGCAACAGTAAACAAGAAAATTAAACTAAAATCCTTTCTATTATCTAATCACGTCCGGTATTGCTAAACATGCCAGATTGTGGCTTATATCTTTGAATAAATAATTTCATTTTCAGGGATATGGGGATAGATCTCGTGATAGAAGGTACCGGAGTGTTCGTAGACAGAGAGGGTGCCGGTAAACACATTCAAGCTGGAGCAAAGAAGGTACTTATCACAGCTCCTGGAAAGGGTGATATTCCTACCTATGTTGTTGGAGTAAATGCTGGTGATTACAATCCTGATGAGCCTATTATCAGCAATGCTTCTTGCACTACCAACTGCCTTGCACCTTTTGTCAAAGTCCTCGACCAGAAATTCGGTAATGCATTCCCACAATACACAGACTCAGTGCTTCTTATGTTTAGTATGCAATACTGGATAATATAATTAGTGTACGCACTCTATATTTGCTCGTATTGATTGATATGACATGGATCACAAAATTTCGATCTCGTAGGCATTATTAAGGGAACAATGACGACTACTCATTCCTACACCGGAGACCAGAGACTTCTTGATGCAAGCCACAGAGATCTTCGACGTGCACGAGCTGCAGCTCTCAACATCGTTCCTACCTCGACCGGTGCTGCAAAGGCTGTGGCACTTGTCCTTCCTCAGCTCAAAGGAAAGCTGAATGGTATTGCTCTTCGTGTCCCAACTCCCAATGTTTCTGTGGTGGATCTCGTTGTCCAGGTCGAGAAGAAGACATTCGCCGAAGAAGTGAATGCTGCATTCAGGGAGGCTGCTGAAAAGGAACTCGATGGTATCTTATCCGTGTGCGACGAGCCACTCGTGTCGGTGGACTTCAGGTGCAGTGATGTTTCATCAACGGTTGATTCTTCATTGACAATGGTGATGGGAGATGACATGGTTAAGGTCATTGCTTGGTATGACAATGAGTGGGGTTACTCACAGAGGGTGGTTGATCTTGCTGACATTGTTGCTAATAACTGGAAATGATGCAAGTAATATTTGGTATCATGTGAATTTGTAAGGTTTTTTGTTTGTTCAAATGTTTGCAGATTTTAATGTACTTTTTTGATAATTATGAAGAGAATGTAAACAATTATCCATCATTCTGGAAGTATAAATAATTAAATTCAAGTAAATAGGTTTCTATTGAGACCGGTAATTGCATAGCATCCTTCTTTGTATCGAACGGTAAATTTTATTGGAGATCACTCTACTTTGAACGAAATATTAATTGTTTTATAAACTTTAAAATATCTTCAATCAAATCACCCAACTTCATAATCCCCGCATGGAACCAAGTCGTTCAATTTGTAATCCACTTGGACAATCTAAAACTGACATCATTTAAACGTTAAATGTCTTTGCAAATCGTTTCTTTTAAGGAAAATGCTTCTTGTACATAACTATTTACATAATGTTTTACATAATGATGATGTGTCAAAATCTAAGTTGAAAAGTTATTTTATTGATAAGATTTTTATCCAATTAAATTTTGCCACATCATCCATTGATAAACTCTTATATAAGTTGTGTACGTACAACAAAACTGTTCTTTTAAGTAACATGGCTTTGCTCAAACAAGAAACTCCTGAAAGGTAGTGTTTCTTTTCACATTTACAGTCGCCGTTCATCTTTTAAACGTGGGTGAATTGAGATTAATCCGAAATCTTATAAGCAAATATGATAATTTATCTGCATTTCACTGCAAGATTGGCACAGTGTTTCCTTAGATATTCATTCTACTAAAAACCATCTGGAGATAACAAGTGTTTATAACATTCACCATAAAGAACATTACTTGATCCTGAATTATCTGAACTTGTAATACTCATAAAACTTGATATCGACTAAATGAAGCCATAATGCTGTCCTGAACCTAAAGCTGCCACATCTCCACAATTGTCTATACAAATGAATACCGTTTCCCCTAGGGGCTTATTTAGATTAATAAGAAAAATGATCCTCATTCTACAAGTTTCTGCAACAACAGAGAATATTATTCCTTCCCAAGTTTAGACAAACCTGAAAAGCCAGTCTGACAAATAGCTAGGTTCAGTAAAGTTGATATTGTTCTGCATGTATACTTGAATCACCTATTCGCAGATGTGTGCGGCATTGGATAAGTCATAGGACCCATGTTAGTCTGGGGGCTGGATCCTGGAATTGGAGCTCGGACACCATATGCCATGTGAGACGGTGGTGGAATATTCACTGGCATGCTGACTGCAGAAACAAGGGGTCCTCCTATTGGTTGGCCTATAGTTGGTGCTCCATACATCCCAACTCCAGGAGCAGTAGCTGGGACTTGAGAAGGTTGTTTGTTTGATTTCGCAGATGAACATCCCACAGCAGAAGCATTTGTTTGACCAGTGAATGGACCTTGTGGCACTGAAACTTCTCCGCTGCTCACACTAGTGATGTCATGAATGCTCGACCGCCTTCTATCTTTGTTCATAGAGTTCAGACGAATGAAGTATTTTTGGGCATGGCTAGCAACTTGTGTAGGATTTCTTGTCACCACAAAGTTCCGGGAAATGCTTCGCCAATCACCTTTTCCATATTTATCCAAACCAAGAAGAAACAACCTGTTTCATGAACATTATAACTATCAATCGGAAATATAAGTCATGCTCAAGGAGAGAGCAAAATGTAACATCAGGAACAAGTAGCGACAAAAGCAAACATAGAATGCAGTTAATTTGTGCTTTAAACATAGATGAAAACATTACAAAAATAGGAAAACAATCAGAGCACCTTTAGTATAATAACTCTGGCATAAAATATAAGTAAATCCTCCAAGTATTTAAATTTATCTTTCAGAATACACATCTATCATCATGTCAGCTTTAAAATACACAGAAGATCAGTAGTAATCATTCAAGGATGTAGAATAAAGTGTATAAATATAAAGAGCAGAAGTGCAGAGACTCAATCAGTAATTTTGAATATCTCTAGACATGATTAGATTCCCTTTACTTTCATTCTTTCCATGCATGATAGAATTGCATAGTCAAGAGCAGGTCATTGGGAATCACAAGAAGAAAAAGAAGAAAAAATTCTCGTGTAGCCAAGCCAAACCGTTTAATCTTTCAACAGTAATTTCTTCAGAAGGCATCAAACAATAATACAATAGAAATGGACAACCTATTTTCCCATCTTGATAGCTATCAGCCATAAAATTGTGTAAGACCAGTTTCTAAGACAAAACTAAAAAAAGAAGTTTTCAGGCATTAAAGCTTATATATTTAACGTGAGTAAAAACATAAACTAATTACAATATGTCAATGCAACAACTCCCATCCCCATCAGTCATTAAATAGACAACACCAACTTCAAACTAAGATTTCACATACGTTTGAAGGATTCAGTACAATCTAGAAAAGGGTTCATCACAGGTCCACAACTAACAGTAGGAATAATTTCTGTCCATCAGTAAACATATAACATATTAACAATGCAAGCCACAGGCTCATGGAACTTCCATTGCTAGAGTAATATGCGGTAGTTAATTATCGAACAATTTCTTTCTACAGCTTCCAATGTTCTTCTCAATTCACTTCTTTGCATTGACATCCTTCAAGATGTTATATTGCACATGGTCAGTATATACGGCATTGATAAGATCTCCTAATAAGTGTAAAATATACTCATCTGTTGTTATGGGGAGGGGGGAAAGGCAAAATATGTGAACTGGCAATATGCAATTGATTCAAAAATCACTTGGGTATTGTTACAATCAGAGAGAATTTTATTCTTTGAAGGGACTCAAAACCAAGATCTAAGGTGCAATAAATCCAGTTCTTTGGTTATGGCATGCCAAAAAGAGTCATAAAGTTTCTGCACATGGATTTAGAGACACTACTCCAATGGGATTTACATCACCAACCCCTTTCCTAGCGAGTGTTCTACAGGGTGCTTTTAAATACACACATAGTGTATCATGTTGATGCCTGGGCTAGTAGACCAAAAAATAAAAATAAAAAATAGAGACGTAGGCAAAATGCTACCATATATTTGGTATAGATATAACTTTCTCCATCTTCAATATTTTAACCCAGTAATGTCATTAGTAAACTTTTGCACGAGACTATGAGAGGATAGAAAAGTGGTGTGTGCTTAGGCACACCAGTAAACATACCCAACGAAAGGTTCTCAACATGCAATATGAGGAAAGGAGGAAAATGAGCATTTATTCAAATTCAGATTGCACTGTTCAATTTGGTAATCATTAATATTATGATCATTTTGACAGCTTAATTGCATATAATAAGTTAATTTGCTGTCAAAATAAGCCCTTATGCGTACTTCCCAGAAAGTAATCTCAGAATGTGCGGCTAGCCAATTGTACAAAACCTTTTTCAAGCCAGGTGGGTAAAAAAGCAAGAGGAGGAAAATCATAAGAGAGAAATACTTTGTTCAAGATGACAAACCTTTTCTTTTAGAGTGTTCTTTTCTGTGCTTGATCTATTGTCAGCTCACTTCTGCTTCCAATCTGATCAGCCACTAGTTAGTTTCAATGATGGGTTTCAGATTAAGCCATTTCTCTGCCTTGCTTTTGCTTCCATAATCAACCATGAGTTTGTTGAGATACTTCGAAATTGGCTTATCACCTTAAATTTTGTTCTGTAGAAATCTAGAGATTTTTTTTTTTTATTTTTTCCCCCCATTTTTATGACAATTCTTGGTAATTAAACATGGTATTTAGTAATATACTCTGATAATTTTGTTTTCGATAGTTAAATTATCCCCCCACCCCACCCCACCCCACCCACAACCACACAAACATATTAGAGAGAAGGAGGAATATAATCAATTATCCTGTATTGGTCTATTCTTGTCTTGGTGATTGGATTACTGTATTAATTGCTTTCTTAGCTTATGGATAATGATCGGAACTTCTATTGTTTGGATGAGTCAAGTCCTAACTCCTAATGGATCAGCCAATAGTTATTACATGGAAGCTTCCAAATTAAGCCGTTGTGTTTGGCTTTCAGGACCACTTGTTTAGTCAGAATTTAAAAGCAGATCCATTTCATTTTCACTCTCTGTTTCTTCAAGAGAAATGGGGAGAAGGGCTGGCGGGGTTACAGACTTGTTTCTTTTAACTATGCTTCTACAGAAAATTTTACTTTCTTTTTCTCTATATGATAAGTCTTTGTAGCTAACACTAATTATACACAAAGCAAGAATGAAAATACTACTTTCAGGATGGTAGCAAAGGTCCTGAATACATGTCAAACTTTGATGGGAAAATAAACCCTACCTCCAAGTGGGGGCATATTGAAGACATTATTTAAATGATATACAAGTGGCTTTCTCTAAAAGCTTAAGCTTTTATGAAGTGGTTCAACACTAACTTTAGTAATACTTCTGCATATTTTATTTCCTTTTGTAGCAACCCTTCCTAGTTCATTCCCCCTCCCATACAATTAATAGTGAAAAACTCTTCTACCTGAAATCCTATAAGAGTCGAGAATGTGTTCTTTGTTTTCTATTTACTTTCAGCATGGAATCGAGTAGCAATAGGTCCTACAAGTCTTCTATATAGTACGTGTAATCCCAGAACCGACCGCTTCCATAGTTTCTCTCTGTAGGCAAGAATCTTGTAGTCAAGTGGGAGAAGAGAATTCATTTGACCAGACTATGACCATAAGAGGATGAAATATATTGTTTTGAGTAAACTTGACGCTTAAAGCTGATAGACTTTCCAGCAGTCTAGAATTCATCGACGGAAGAAATCTATCTTTAAAATATCGACATCTGCAATAATTATTCTTAATCTACAGTGCATCCAGATAGCTTCTTAATCCACAATTGTAATTTCTGAAAGATAAATCCTAGAATTTAGGTTATATCTGCAAAGATTTTGTAGCATTGTTCCTATTATTGTCACGTATTAAGGTTTTCATTGAATCAAAACTATGATGTACCATCTTCAGTTCAGTGCTGATAATCGTAAGCGAACAAAAAGCATGCCAAACTGCCGAACTTTATATTGCAGAATACATGCATACACGTGTGTGTGTGTGTGTCTGCTTCTTAACATTTTGGAAATCCATTAGTTTGGCGTTTACCCATTTCGGTTTGATAATACATCAATTAATTCCAATATAGTGTTTAGTATGACAATGGAAATTGAGAAAAGAACCACCTCTGCCACACGTCCCTTGATGCTACTTTCATAATTCGTAAATGAGTAAAAACTTAAGTATGATTAAGAGTTTTTTACTCTTTTAACATGTCTACTATGCGTGAGAGCTCTAACCAATTTTACCAACAAGTTCAAGTTATGTCTATTTCTGCCTTTTGTTTGTTGACATGAAAATTTCCTACTATTATGTTTGTTTCACACCGAAAAGGATGGGCACATATTCAGATGGAAGCTTTCAACAAGTATAATTAAAATGGGAAAACTTACTCTTGGCATCAATGTATAATAATTGGAAACTGCAAACAGTAACTCATTCCTACAACCACCACATGCGATTCAAGAGAAAATAGGTTATGAATATTATAATCAGGCATAACACAAAAAAGATGCAGACTAAATTTCATTCCAAACAAGAAGTTACTATAATCAGGCATAACATAAATAAGATGCAGACTAACTTTCATTCCAAACCAAGAAGATACAATAATCAGGCATAACACAAATAAGAAGCAGAGTAAATTTCATTCCAAACCAAGAAGATACTTCCACTATATCG